GGCATCCGCAAAGCATGTCCCACCCATCGAATTCTCAGAAGCAAGATGGTGGTAATCACAGGACGATTAAGATTGTCTAAGGCGAAGATTCTTCAGCGAACCTCATCGTTGGTTAATCGCTTTTGCAAACGTATTCTGGCAATGCACCGATGGCAACGGTGATCAAACACCTACAATCTATTTTTATCCTGTTCCTTTAGTGGCCAAGTCTCTCCGTACGTCTCCTGCGTGAAAGGGCCAGCTGCCACAGCCGTAGAGTAAGACAAAACATTGTAAACGCGGCCTTTCAAGGAGAGAATGAGATCGCGTCGACGCCACAAGTGACGGAGGTTAGCGAAAACCACGCGGTCCTTGCGGATATACGTCGATATTTCTTGTATCAGTTCTCTTGCTCTGAAACAACTTCCTAGCTAGGTAAAGTTATCGACGATTTCCAACTGGCTGCTCATAGATGTGAGGGTAGATATAGTCTTGCCAGTCTTGTATTTTTGTTTCGATCATCATGAAAATTTTTCTTTTTCATAAAGATCATTGTACTACGATTTGCTTGATACAATCTGGATTCAGACCTGTGTAAAATACGCACATGAGTAGGATCGGCTACTCTCCATTATTAATGCTATTATTATTGTTATTTATTTGTATGTGTATTATTTTATATTTACTATTATTATTTCAAACGTTTCATTTTTCAGCCCATGGGATCCATCCGAGTCATTCCCTTAGGTTCGTATTTTGTTTCCTCCATTCAATGTTTGCTGTCATTGTAGGCGCGGGCCAAGATGTAGGCCGAAGCTGTATATTGGTGAGCATCGGTGGAAAGAATGTGATGCTAGACTGTGGAATGCATATGGGTTATAATGATGATGTGAGTTTTTCGGTTCAGTTATTTCAGTTTCAATTCCAGAGGCGTTTCCCGGATTTTTCCTTTATCGCAGATAATCACAACCTGACAGAATATTTGAATTGCGTGATTATCAGGTAGTTACTGATTTTTAAATTTATGTAACGTAGATAGTCATTTTCATTTAGACCACTGTGGTGCTCTGCCTTACATGACAGAGGTCATCGGATATGATGGTCCTATTTACATGACCCATCCGACAAAGGCTATATGTCCGATTCTTTTGGTTTGCCGCTTAACTTTGATAATCTTACGTTTTTAGGAAGATTATCGCAAGATAAACGTTGAGCGTCGTGGCGAGCAAAATTTCTTTACTTCTGATATGATCTATCGGTGTATGGCAAAAGTGAAATGCGTCTATATTCACCAGGCTGTCAAGGTTTTTGCATGTTATTCAGTCTATATTTTGTCCTCTATAGGTTGACAATGATTTGGAAATACAGGCGTTTTACGCGGGCCACGTTTTGGGAGCGGCAATGTTTCTGATACGCGTTGGTTCTCAGTCTATTTTATACACGGTATTTCACTCATTGATGATTTATATTCAATATTAGGGCGACTATAACATGACTCCAGACCGTCATTTGGGAGCGGCTTGGGTTTCGAGGTGTTGTCCAGATATACTGATCACTGAGAGCACTTATGCCACAACAATACGTGATTCCAAGCGTGCCAGAGAACGTGAATTCTTGGAAAAAATTCACGCCTGTGTTGAAGCGGGCGGAAAGGTAGCTAACTGTCTTTGAAGTTTTTATGCAGCTTCACTACTTTTAGGTTCTCATTCCTGTTTTTGCTTTAGGTAGAGCACAGGAATTGTGCATCTTGTTAGAGACCTATTGGGAACGGATGAACATATCGGTTCCAATTTATTTTTCCATGGGAATGGCAGAAAAAGTACGAATTTAGTTTCCCCGATTTACCATCTAACGGTCTTTATCAGGCTAATGAGTATTACAAATTGTTTATATCATGGACAAATCAGAAAATCAAGGAAACATTTGTGACGCGAAATATGTTCGACTTTAAACATATCAAGGTAAGTATCAAGCTTGTACCTTCTAGATAGTCACCATTTGTTTAGCGTGTCAGTCTATTTATTGCAGTTACATTATCACCTGCTAGCCTCATATTGAATCTTGTCAAGCAATGTTTTCTTCGGTTATTGTGATTCATGATGCTTACTTCGTGTTTGTTCGAGGCGCTAGGGTTGTATAATGCCACTGTGTTATGTACAAGCATAACACAGGTAAAAGCAGCTCAGATGAATGTGCCGATGGAAAAAGAGGACTAAACGACACCATCCACTGCTGTTAGAGGTGAACGAACCTCCCAGTCCGATATCACAATGGGAAAAATATTTGTGCCTGTTGTTCTAGAACATTGAATATGAAGGTTGATTCTAAGTTGGAGCTTCTGTTTTTCTTATCTGATGGTGCATTGCTTTTAGCCACCTTTGCTCAATTCTTTATTTTTGTTTGTAGCCTCTAGGTCAAGGAACTGTTGACAATCCTGGTCCTATGGTCGTTTTTGCCACCCCCGGAATGCTTCATGCTGGTCAGTCGCTTCATATTTTCCGGAAATGGGCTTCCGACGAACGAAATATGGTTGTCATTCCCGGTTACTGTGTGGCTGGGACAATTGGGTATAAGGTGTGTTTCGACCCCCGGGTTGATCATCGGTTCCTTTGTTTGCCATTTGGGTTCTCTCACTACTACTAATAACTCAGTAGTTTAATGCATAACTGCAAAATAATCCTTTTTGTTCAGACTGGATGTTGAGTACATTGTTGCAGCCCTGTTCTATGTTCACCAAAACTAAACTTATTACACATAATGAGCTGACGTTCCGAGGTGAAAGACTGGTATTTCCCAAAGCAGTGTGTCAAGAATCACTGCTCCTGTTACATTTTTCGCACTCAGGCGTAACTAGGAGCCTCAGTTGTGAAAAAGACGCGCGATTAACAGTTTCAGTTTTTACAACCATTGAACATGCACTTTCGTTTTGGTTGCTGTCTCATGATTGCCCATTCGGATGAAGGAGTAAAGGGAAGATTGGAACGTTTATATCAATGTTCCAGTGAAAACAGAATTCATGAAGACTTAGGTTGCAAGGATAATGAGCAAGTGCACGAGCGGCACTGTTTACGACACTCAGCCATATCACAGTGTTTCTAACCATCGATTACGCTGATCCCGATGTCCCCATCTAGGAGGCATAACACTATCTATGTGGGGAAATCCCCCCTGGTCAGGCTTTTCATATCGTCATATCATGTCTGAGTCTAACTACTCTTCAATTTTTTCCAGCTGTTATCTCCCTCGGCAAGTAGCATGCTCCATGGCAATCTATTTGGTGGCTTGCGCAACGCGTGTTTCAGGGATGTGTGAATATAGTGGTACTGGGGATGTTCTTTTCTGCACCACATTCCCGCATAATATGGTGCACGCATACTATATCTTACTCTGGTCCTTCAGTCGCCCGGGTGACCCAAACACGCACTGGGAACCTCAACGTCAAGTCACGAGATCCTATGGTTTGTTCGAACGTGAGAACTCCGGATACAGACAATCAGTGCATCACCATGCCCACACTCTATAATCACGGAATCGAAATAACCTGTTTTTCTGCGGTACCCGTTCCCAACTCCAGCAGTTAATCACGGTATCCAGGTGTGGTATATGCTTTGCACCGTCCAAATGCAAAGTGCTTGTACAAGACTGGCAGGAGCCTGTACCTGCATTCACCCTCTGTGGTGATCAGCGGGAAGTGGTTGAGAGCTTTATGTACCTCAGAAACTTGATCGCAGCTGGTGGTGCTGTTGCGGAGGAGATCACATCACGAATAGTGAGAGCTAGAGCAGCTTTCGCC